TCGACTTACGTCGTTTTCCTGGAACCAATTACCGACGTAAGGCGAGGTATACCTGTATTCCTTTCTGCAATGGTACTCCTGACAACCTGATATCAGTTTTCATGGATGGATCTAAGTGCAATTGTGAAGTTGGAGATAGTTTTATTGTCTATTATGAGAATGAGCTTGAAATGCACCATAGAAAGTTTTGCTTGGGATCTCATTGCACTATTTTCCAGGTGGAGCTGTAAGTACACCACTTGGAGGGGGGAATTTTACTTCTTCATCAGGGATGACCTAGGGTCTCATGTGAAGCTTCGGAAGTGGGCCTATAATTTGTGCAAAAAAAAACCAAGGGAGAAAATATTTTTTATTTTTTGTATATATTTTTTTTATTCAGGTTCGATCCCAAGGACGTGGAGATCTTTTAGTGTCTCTCTGCTATCAACCAGCAGCCAATAGATTGACGGTAGTGGTATTAAAAGCAAGAAACCTCCCCAAGATGGATATAACCGGTTTGTGCGGTAAGTCCATCTTTCTAACGAAGATAAATTTCACATTAGAGAGGTGTATAAATCTCTAGAGTGGCTTAACAACGTCATTCCTTGTTCTAACTTTCAAAATTGACGTACCTTTATCAATTTTAAATGCTCTAACTCTTTTATTTTCTTTTGGTTTCTTTTTTTTTTTTAACGCACAGATCCATACGTAAAAATCTACCTTCTCTACAACAATCAACGCATTGCGAAGAAGAAAACACACGTCAAGAAACGTACAGTTAATCCCGTATTTAACGAATCGTTCGTCTTCGACGTACCTTATAACGAAGGATTGGAAAACATAAGTTTGGAATTCTTAGTCTTGGATTGGGATAGAGTAACTAAGAACGAAGTAATCGGACATTTGGAACTTGGAGATAAATTCGAAGGTGCAGCCCAGTTGCATTGGCAAGAAGTTTGTAATTCTCCAAGACGTCAGATAGCAGAATGGCACAAATTAAGAGATTAAAATCATTGTACTAACTGCTGCAAATTTATTATTATTAGTTATTATTTTGTTGTATTTTGGAAATTATTTATAAAAATTATTAGACAAAGGCAAAAAAAACAACAAAAATTTCCATTTAGAAATTCTAAAAACCCCAAAAAATAAAAAATAAAAACCACACAATATTTAAAAACATGGAAGAATTCATTGCTGTTCCAGATTCGAAGTGTTGCTTATACTGTGTATATCTAATTGTATTTTAAATTTTCGTTAACGTGTCGTCAATTTTTGGATGAAGTAGTTCCTATAATTACAATGATTATCCCCCTGATACCATTATACACCGAATTTATGATTTTGTTTACGTTAATTAGCGGTACTTAAACACGGGATATTAATCTATTCTGTTTATTGTTAATATCATACGCTGAAGCTAAAAAAAGAAAACAAAAATTGATAAAAATTTCTAATGGTTCCCATCAATTTCGTGTGTTAATTCTTGATTAAATCTTTTTTTTGGCATTTAAAATAATTGTATTCTTCTATAACAATATATATATATATATATACACACACANTCCTAATATAAACATCAACCTTGCTGAATAAATGATTATTTATAATAAATTATTGAATGATGGGAATATATAGTTTATTTTTTTCTCTGTTTTCTTGATTTATATACTATAAATAATTACATTAGAAATGAGTAAAATTACAGCTAAATAAATTAAAAACGAGTAGATAAAATAATTGATGACTTCCTAAATATATAGGGTGGATCAAAAGTCAGTTAACTAGTGTTCAAACACTTCACAAAAAAACTTGCCCGTTTTTTTGGCCACATAAATAAAATATGGTTAACTGATTTTAGAGCCACTGTGTATCTTTTATAATTATAATTTGTGTGAAAATTTTATTCACTCGATCTATTAGAATTATTATTATTTTTTTTTATTATTTTGATTTTTTGAAGAAAATTAATAATAAATTCTGAGTTAAAAAACAAAGAAAATACTTTTAAAAAAAATACAGAATTATATTAATGTAAAATTACGATTTTTTGAAATTTATTTTTTTATAATGATGACGAATGAACTGTGTATGTAATATGAAGTAACAGAGCGCCACAAAGTCCCTATCCTTGAGACTTATCAGAAATATACTGTAATTAACTCAGAACGTAATGTGTCCTTGGTTAATTATATTGTTTTACTCGCTTGTCAAAGCTTTGGTATAATGAACACCATAGAAAACAAAATGATTAACTTGTATTTAGTTTCTCCATTGTTCCAGTTAGCTTTGGGGCATTGTAAATCTCAATGATTCCTTATAAGCCACTGCTTTAATTAATTCCATTCACCAATATGGAAGGTGAAGCCCAGAACAACAAGGAGAAAAATTAAAATTTGTGGAAGAATAAGGAAAAATACTGATAATTTCTAACTAGGGATTTTGCGGGCCTTCGAGATGGGGTTTTTCCCCGCATTCCGAGAAAATTAAGAGGCCCGTAGTGGTTCCTATACAATTAGCGTTATTTTTACTATAGAAAATAAAATATTTAAGACAATTTTTATTAATATTTGGTCAAAGAAAAGACAAGGAAAGGGCCTTCTCTACTCCCAGGCCCCGTACAAACTCTCGATAACTCTATGATTACTCTGAATAATATACAAAATACAATCATATAATTTACGTGTAAGTTAAACAACACTCACTCGTGTAAATTCGTTTATGATTTGGTAGAGGCCCTCATTTAGCATTTAGCATTTAGGCCCTCACGCGTGTAAATTCGTTAATATTTGGTAGAGGGAAAGGTCATGTTATATTTTACAGCTTAAGTAAGACCCCAACAAGTATAAAGAATGACTCAAATGTTTAAAAAAAGCTAAGTAAATGACTAATAGAATATAAAAAGAACAACAAAATTTGTTTCAATCGTAAATTTCTGTAGTTTATTATACAATTGATTCGGTTTTTTTTAACATTTTAATGGTTAATCGTTACTCATTTACATATTTGAAAGTAGAAATCGATAGTGAAAGTAAAAATCGTTGAAGTAAGAGAGAAAGTAATGAAAGTGGAACTTTTTTTTTTTTTTTTGTACGTTTGTATTACTTGGTCGCCATAAAAATAGCATTATTTGTGTCAAGGCTAGAAGACATATTGCCATGACAACTGTGAGTATTTTGTGTATTGGAAATTCACCTCCCCAGGCTAAAATTTGCTAAATTTCTTTTTGTAAAAAACCCTTAAGAAAATCAAAATTTTAAAAATAATATTTTCATTATTTTTCGGTAATTTATAAAATGTTAAATTATCTAGCGAAGTAGAACTGTATCCGGAAATTACACTTTGGTAGAGTCTTCCTCCATTATTTAATTTATCATTCCGGCAATGAATGTAACGTTGTTTCGTATAATTGATACATTTAATACAATTTATTTAACTAAAAATAATTGTTTTCCTTTCTTTTTCTGATTAAAAATAAATTTAGTTTGTTTGTGTGTCTGTCTGCCACTTTTTAAATTGACTTAATCGGAGTTTAGAGGCGTGAAATTCGACATTTGAATGACGGGTGATGCGTGAATTTTCTCGTATATTCCAGTCAAAATAACTTCCAGTGAAAGTTTTATTGCCGAATTTTATTCTAGAATTAATTTTAATAAAGATTTTTTAAATTTAATTAACATCTATAAATATCTACGTTTCTATATAAATCGATATGTCTATACATGTAATTAAAAAAAAAAGGAAATTATAAGAATTTTTTTACTTTATTATGACCTAGATAACGTTAAATTACAAATAAGTCTGTGGAAAGAGATATATCATCATACATAAAATTACTTTACAAATAAGAAGCACGCAACTTGAGGCCTTGCAACTAAATGTTTCATCCATTGAGGGCCTTAAAATGCTGTTAGATATTATTATTTTAGTTGCTTCTAACTGCTAAAAATGGAAGAAAATACCTAAAAGAATGGAAAACAGAAATTTTTCGTAAAAAATAGAGGGTAGCGTGTGTAGGGACTTTATTATACTCTACTCTATAATCAGTGGCATGTTATCATATAGAAAAAAAGGCAATTGCCTGGGGCCCCCACCGACAAGGAACCCAAACCGATCTTCTATTAAAAAATATTTTCCCTAAAACATTCTCCCCAAGAAAAATGTCTGAAGTCAACACTGTACATGGGGCCCCGCGAAGCTACAATGCGATAACATACAAAATATAGAAACAACAAAACTTAAATAAATTAAATAAATTATTTAATAGAGCATTAAAAGAACAATCGAAAGAAAAAAAATACAGAAAATCAATCAAAAAAACAAATTATATAGAGTTCAAGGATATATATGTTAGGATTTATTACAGTTTTGTAGACTAAATAAATTCAAAAATCCAGGGGGGAAAAATGCATTAAAATAAAATCCAATATATCATAAGATCATCATTCGTTTTTAGGAAATATAGAAATACATAAAAAGATAAAAATATACGAATAGAATACATTAAATATAAAATTATAGGAAAAAATTTATAAGAAGATATTTGCTATTCTTTCTATAATTCCAGTAATTTCTTCCCTTATAAAATACTTCCAAGGTCATTTTTTACTTTAAAAAAAATTCTTTAAGTAACTGAAGTATGTATAGAGCGATAATTATTAGCGTATACGGAGGGTGGCCCAAAAGTCGGTTAATCACTACAGAGAATACAGCGTTTCATTGCTTAAAAGCTTTACTTTAGCGAAATAAAGCACTTTAAACGGACTTTTGGGCCACCCTTTTTATACAAAAAGTTTATTTATTTATTTATTTTTACTTTTTATTTGAATTAAAAAAGAAACTCGTTAGGGAATTTTATTAAATTAGATTTTCTGCCTTGTTACATTCTACTTAATGTTAAATACATTTGACACTTGATCGATATTTTCTTAATAAATGACTCCTCCCTGTAACACACTTTCGAACGTTTTATACTAAAAATAGTCTAAGTTTTAAGGGAGTCTTCGAGACTTATTAATTAATTAAATATTTTATAATATTAATTTAAAATGTCTTTACTTAATTAAGAACCTGTGTTTACGAACAAGTTTTATTTTCGTGACAAGTGATGGCTTTTTGATTGACGAGATCCTAAATAAGCGTGAAATTACGGGCCTCTTTCTATATATATAATATAATTTATAAAGAAGAGGCCTTGTAAGTTGGTAGAAGGCGACCTGTGATATGAGCTTTATCTAATATACATGGAAAGAGGCCCTGCGAGGAAGCCTTCACTTTAATAAGGCATTTTTAGCGAACCCATTACGGGTTGGGCCAGATCCACAATGGGGCGGCCAAATGGTGGGGTCCCGAATCACCTGGACTCCATTATGGTCCTGGATAATCCGCAATGGACAACTCTTGAAAAATTTCAAAAACATCTTAACCACTCCGCCATTCGGTCTTCCTTTATCTTGTACATTAAGGAAAATGCCTTTTATTTATTTAATTATTTTGTCAATTATTATTATTTTTAACGATGTTTTTGTTTTCTTTTGAATATACTGAGATCCTCAACGAGTAAGCGAAACAGGATACTTGGAAACCTGTATTATATTGTAGTACACAACATTTGGCAAGCCACTGCTCTAGGGGACTCGGAATCAAATCTGAATGGGTCAAAAACCCAAGAAATTTTTTGGGAAAGTAGTCCGTCCGGATATGTAGGGCCCGTCACTCATCATCTGGCTGCCTCATTGTGAGCCTACAGGGCTGAGTTTAAAAAATGTATTGAAGAAAATTTTAAAGTTTATTAATACTATGCCGTTATTTTAATATCTAAAAGTAAATGTTTTCAATATAAGATTCTGTAGGCCTGATGGTCGAGCGGTCAAGATGGCAGCCTACTACTCTGGGGGAACCGGATCGAAAAAGCTCCAAGAATTTTCCATGTCTCACCACCCCGCCGCCCCATTATGGACCTGACCGAAACCATAAGAGCTTCCTTAAAAAAGGCCTTAAGGCCAGAGCGGTTAACTCTTTCAGCCCACAGGGCTGAAAGAGTTAACCGCTCTGGCATTCGAAAGTCGATCCATCGTCGTACTATGATTCAGTACAGTGTTTAATAATTTAATTACTTTAATAATAAATTAAAGTTTATGACAAAATCTTTAATATATATAGAAGTACAATTTAATATCAAATAATAATTGGCTGCCCCGAACGCAGAAGCATGATCGTCCACAGAAAATTCCCAGGAGGTAAAGTTTGGAGACAAATAATTGTGATTGTTTGTCTTCAAATAATTACAAAATATATAATGTAAATAATTACAATATTTATTTGTTTACGGCAATGCGACACGTGAACGATCTTCCGAGGGGGTGCCTCCTAAGGACTTTTTATGGGAACACTCCTAGTTTGGGGTTACAAATGTAAAGAAAACCCGGAAAACTCCACGTCATCCCTTGGCGAGGCATGAACACACGACCAACTACCATTGTTCAGTGGTTTTATCCACTCGGCC